TCGCCGGATAGTTTGCGCTAAGCAGGGGTCCCTTGTGGGGAATGTTGTCTACCGTCCAGATGGCTCACCCCAGCATCCGATGATTAGACTTTTGTTCAGATGGAATCTATGGATCGTCTCAAGTAATTAGCTCCTCGGGGTGCAGCTCGCTATTTCAGCCCCAGGTGAGGTTCGCCAGGGCTGACCTAGGCTGACCGTTGTGACGGCGGGTACCTGGCGCGTTGCTACGGTGGGATTGGCCTCGTAGGACCTTGTGGAAGGGGGACAGATCAACGACAGGGTAATATAAACAAAAAGGTTTGCAGAGGCACGTGTCCCGCTCTTTACTGTGGTTTTTGTCGTCGCATGAGTCAGCCTGCGTACGGATCTGCAGTTGTACGGATAGCAAAGGTTTCTTGGAGGCCATGGATCGATATTAGGAATGATGCCACGATGAGCTTCTATGACATAGAGATAAGCTTAAGGTGCCAAGCGCACGGCGAAGGTGTAGTTCTTGCATTTACGAGGCAAACCCGCCAAAAACAAGGATTGCGATGTGATCGGAGAAGCCGGCGTCACATCACATTCACCATAGTGACCAACCTAAAATTGCATATAGGTCCTTCTATAGGCGCCGCTGTTTCAAATTGAAGAATAATGCGAGAGTGATGAGATTGCTCTAAAATGGGGGCGATCCGTCTACTTGGGACTCTGCCACTCAAATGCGCCAGCTGAATTTAGATCTCACCACAACATCCTCGGCCAACCAGCTTCGGCTTGGAAAATTGGGAGTCTGCGGCACAACTGGAAAACCCCACGCATAATAAGCCATGTATTAGTGCGAACATTCCGGATGATCCTTGTGGGCCGCCTAGCTCTCGGGCCATAGGGCGTCGCCTCTACGGAGAAGCTTAGAAGGGGACGGGGCTGTTCCGAGTCAGTCGCCCTGTCATTGGCCTCCTCTTCGACCATTTCGGTCCAAATCAGCAACTCATCGTGTTGGACGTCTTTGAGGTCATTGGCTCAGTTTTGCGTAGATGCTGTTATTTGTCCAGGGAATGACCTCTCATCACATTCCTGAGTGGATGACCTGGAGAGCATTGTCCACGTGCTCATAGCGCTCCATGTCTTATCAATCGACAAGGAAAGCAGCTCTCTGGCAACGAGGACACTGATTAGAGTCAAGTAGTGTTAGAGAGTCGGTGAATCTCCGACCTCATGTCCGACTCTAGGATGGATCTCGAAGGAGGTTCTAGACTCGTAAGAATATCCACATCACGGGCCATCAATAGGAGCTAGCTGGAGGCATTTTCGCCTTTTTCCCGCCATCGGAATGTTTCTGCCGGAATCAATTGATACGATTTTGTGAATCCGAGCTTTGGCCTTCAATCGAGCTAGAAAAGATCAGATAACTCAAACACGTCTCCATTGTGGTGGAATCTACACGTGCTATGGCGAACTGGGCAGAGACTTCGATGCCAAGCTTCGCAAGTTTAAGAATTGCTCCCTTTTCTGTACGTAAACACAATGTGCGTGAACACACTATGTGTGGACACAACGCGCGGTTACCCAAAGGCATGTTCAGTTATCATACCCATCAAATTGACATGATTGTAGCCTGTATTACTCCAGAAATAAAGCACTATATCTCAAGTAGTCACATTTGATATACTGACATACGGGGTTCGAGAGAGTCGCTCGCAAAAGCATCTTCTCAAGCCCGTCATATTGGGCGCGTCATGCTCTGAATTACGGTGCTCTACTATGTATACTAGCGGCAAGTGGAGCTAAAAAGGCAAGAACCTCATCCTGCCGACGCATCCAAACGTCCCGTGCGTATGACATCCGACTAAGAATGAAGTGATTTGCCAAATGAAAAACGTGCTCAAAGGTTCTGATAACGACAAAGGGTCATCCCGCCCACATCCCATATTCCAGCGCGGCAGGCAAGATGTAAAAGCACGGGCCCGGGTACTCACCGCCGTCGAGAGACACAGCTTAGTTTATGCCATGGGACACTCTAATTAGAGTTTCAACAGTTCACTGGCGACCAGTCACCCAGTGGATATATATTTCATCACAAGTCACAAGATTCTACACAAAGCAGAAGGGAGCAACCGAGTTGCTATAACGTAACTCGAGCCACAAGTGTTATTGAAAACGCGGAGGAAGTCTTTGATTAGGGTTATTGCCCATCTTGGCACCGCGGGTTGAAAGCTTGGTGCGAGTTGTTTGCTGTTCGCTAAACGCATGTCATTTCTGACAGCGTACGATATGGAGATGGGGCTGGTGGGTGGGTGATTCCTTCAACCTTATCGCACTTGGACTTAATCATGTGATCGAGTAGTCGATCTATTGTACATTAGGTAGCCAGTACCTCTCTGGTTGTTACGAATTAGTCTGTTGATGCAACAAGTCCAGGCGCAACTAACACCGCGGAACATGCCGTGAGTTGGGCTCGCGCTTTCATTCGGGTCAATCCGATATGCCACGAGGCTGACGTGGCTGTTAGGGTGATTTCATCAGTATGGGAAAGTCTAATGAGTCGACTCGACAAGAGACCCTGAAGATCCTTGCGGTAGTTGGAACCTGGAGCAAGTTGGACATGGAGTCAATCGGGTGGTACTATCACATATCAATTCGGAATAGAATTTCTACCAATATCTCCACCGGCCTCAAACCTTCCAACCCCCTTCGATCTTCAGCGCCAATTTCGCTCAAATCCTTTCTGTTAAGTGTACTAGCGCACCCGAGTCTGATGCTGCTTTCGTGATTGGGTGGAAAATTTCTTTTTCTCAATTGCGTCTTTGGAGGCTGGGTCCGGGGCAGCCATGGAGCTTTCTCTTCTACCGCTCACGATGCCGGTAGTACCGCATACGGCTGCCCGTGCAGCGAAATCGACCAAGGCGGAGCAACTCCGTTATTTCAACTCCGTTATTTCCAGGCCCTCGGGTCAAGGTCAATCAGACGTGATTTCGCCGGACGATAGTCGGTGTTGCTGGATTGGTCGAGTTTGACGGTTGCGTAGAAAGTGTTGCCACTCACCGGCCGTGAAGCCGAGTATTTTCTCTCGGCTTCACGGCAGAAGGTGCCATCAAGGTGCGCGCCGAGTAATTATGATAGATCTCAACTAAGACGTTCGTGGTAAATGCTCGCTTATACTACAGAGATTTTCGCACAGAGACTTAGTACACCCCGCGCTTTGAGAAGTTATATTGCACCGCATGTCGGAGAAGCGCGAGGGGATTCGCCCTTGGAGACGACCACATGGAGCAATACAACAAGTGGTGCAGAGGGAATGTTCGATTCAACAACCCCAAGTCCCGGGATGCCAATTGCAAAACTTAAAGACGAAGATCTTTCCCAGAAAGGAGATGACAGTCAATGCCAAATTGCGGGAATAAAGCCCTTTACAGCAACTCTACCTTGGTAGGCTTTACTAGAGGTTCAACGACTCAGACAACCCAAAAGTCAGGAACCGAAGTCAAAATTGGATAGTAACGTATGATGATTCGTATGAGAGATGAAGTCAAAATGAAAACTCAAGACATGGGTACTGAAAGCTTGGAACTCTCTGACTTGACATGGTGAACTACAGCCTCTGTAAATGAACTACCTACTTGATAAGTTCAAGTCACACTTGACCCGACAGGAGCGACCCGGGTTGAGGGAACAGACGTCATACTCGTTCGCTGAGACTGTGAAGAGAGATGAAATCAATTACTCTGAGCTACCTACAGGTAGGTGCTCCACGCTGCCCAAAGCCCGGAAAGTACACGTCCTGTTGCTTCTTCTGACAATGTTTGTCAACGATAGTCCGTCCTCGGAAAGGCCACCACGGAAAGACTGCAGATCAAAAGATCAACACGCAATTTTTTCTTGGGGGAAATGATCGCCTTCAATCGACATTATTCGCACATTCGGTCAATTGTTCGGCATGAGGACGCGACTTGGTGTCGCCGAGAATCCGAGATGTGCAAGTTGATTGCAAGCGGGCGTCAATAAGGTTGGGCCGAAAAATTGATATTACTAGTTGAAAAGCGTTCTGCGTGATTTTCGAGAACTTATGACAACTTATTTTCACGTAGACACGTACTCTCGAGATGCAGAAGGCCGGATTGAGTCTTGTCAATGTTCGGCGAGCAGAAATCAGAGCCAATGAAATTCTCAGCGACTAATGCCCGACAACACTTCACACGTATCTTGGAGGATTGGAAACGCAGTCTCGCGCCATAAAGTGCACCAAAAACAATGTATCTTCTCGCATACCTATGTAGACACCTTCATGTATCTCGCAGCGATGTAACGTACTACACCGAGACGAGAGTTGTTGCCTGCAGTAATCCACCCCTGTTATTCTGACTTAGCAAAAACCTCACAATGTCGCAAATATGGGGGCACTGATAGATAGGAAGTATCAAGCACGTGGGCAAGTGCACCGGTAACTCTTCATGCGGCAATTCCGGCTTGCACTGAAACCTGACGAGACTAGATTTTCTAAAACGAGGAGGTTTCGTGGTAGGGCTGCCGTGATCCTCATTTGTGCCGTTTTCCGGCAGGTAAGTTCAGGTAATTATTCCATGAAGAAAACCACTGTCACGAAAAAGAATCGAACACCACGATCTTCTCTATATCCCTATAGTATCGCAATACTACTGGATATGGCGGTATGACTAATATTCCAAAGTCTGACTGTTGGCCTCTTCTCAAGAACTGTTCAGAATCTCAACCTTTCCCAGCAAATATCTCCCTTTCATAAAACCAGATTCGTCTTCTCAATTTGAATGCAATGGTCAAGTACTGTAGGTGACGTTGTGTGAAGAAAACGAACTTCAGCTATGAGTCGACCACATAGCATCCAGGCCTTTCGATGTTGGCATTTTTGTTCACTAGCGACCCATCCAAGTCCAGATTTTCGTACTGAGTGACTGATTTGATATAGTTTTAAGTCCAGCCAACACTGTCTTCAACTACATTCAGAGCTGCGAACAACATCGTTGAAGCGACCGTTGCCGTCACCCATGTCCGCGCCTTCTTGCTTCGTTGGTTTCCTTATGATAGTCGCGTCCCCTGTCCCAAAGAAGTCAATCCGCTCGTCAGTATTTCGCACAAGACGAATCGGCTTACTTTATTCAAAAGAGACTGCGCAGAGAATCATCGAAACTAGGCGCAGGTAGTATCGCCCCTGTCGTGACCGTGAATCGAGCTGATACTGCCGAAGAATTGCCGACAAACATTGACTAGCACAGACATCTCAATCTTCATTTTCAAGACCTCTAGGTTGATTATACCAAAGGCAATTAAATATACTATGGTAGAAGGAACATGGTTGGGCAGGGACAGATTTTCTTTTCTTTTCTCCTGGATGTCAGAATTGAAAACGTCATACGTAATTGAAGGTGTCGTTATAAAGGAGGTTGGGGGCGGAGAGCACAGTAAGCCATATAACTCGGGCGTATCGGCTAACCTTGCTTGGGAGCCTATCGACAAATTTCGGACATCAATCCCACCATTCACTTCTTTCCTGGCTGTTCACATGGCGATTATGCCAAGTGTCAGCGGCGCAGCGCCTCCAAACTTGAATTGGCGTTAAATTTCCCTTGGCATAACAATAGCCAGTTGCTCAGGTGGTCGGATGCGCCCAAAAATGACGCAACCTGTCATTGACGACGAATGATTTGTTTTCTAGCCGATGTGCGTAGCATTGCGGCTGTGCGGCTTGCTAGAAGATAGTCGTCGAAAGCAGGAAACCACGAAACAAAACTTGGATAGATAAGAGACGACCTTGCCCACACGCCCACCGATTTATCGGCGCATTGTGCGATCAAGTACAATTCCATCTCATCCTTTAATTTCCGAATCTGCATTATTCTAAACATGGGCTTCGTAAGTAATATACGCTCTTGGACTGGTTGCAACCTTGTACCCTCCATGTGCTGACGTTATCTAGTTGAAGTCTTTGGGCGAGACGGCCGACAAGGTGGCATTGTCTGTTACAAACACAATGGGTTTGTAGACATCGAATCTCTCTTGATGTGTTAAGTCACTAATATCATTCAAGCTGATAGCCGCTCTTATCATTCCGATGGCCCTGATTGTGTCGCAGCAAGTAGTGTCCCTCGGAATTCCAAGGGACAACGCGACCCTCCTCCGCGCATATCCAAGATGACCTGGGCAGAAACTCTTGAGGCGGAGAAGGCAGCCAAAGAGAAGCAAGCCGCCCTTGGCAAATGATTTTCTCTCTGAACTATGAGATTGAATGACAAATGTGATGGTAGGGTGAAGTGTACTTTTTCTAGAAGGGGGCATGATGAAGATCTCGAGTAGAGGATGTTTGCGAAAGGAATCAGATGTAAGTAATATCGAGCGTTTTTGTGATTAGTGCCGATTGGCCTCGCTATCGTTTGCAGAGGCTCTCGACATTGATACGGCAGTGCGCGTAGCTTCATCCAAGTCTTCGATTGGCAGTTGCAAAAGATCGTTGTCAGACTGGAAGTCCGCATCATCGGTCGGCTGGAACACCCGGGCGTACATCAACTTATAAAAGCCCTCATGATTGCCTTGTTTTAGCTCTTTAAGACCGTCATTGTACCTCTTCTTAGTTGTCTCATGATCAATCCTCCAGTCAGCATCCGTTGTCCCCGTCACTCGTTTGACACTCTCCAGCATATCGCGCTGGCTGACCTTGAAGCTTGACGCAAAGACAGTCTTGTTATGAAATTGGGAGATGGTTGTCGAGTTATCGTCGGCGTTCTCGGGGAGGATCTTGTGACTCAACATAGATGCCACGGCGCGACCACATTGTGCCCATGTAGAGACCTTGATAGCTTGGTCACCGTCGTCATACAAAGTGATTGTACGATTCTTCAAGTCGAACCCAAAGGTGGCAGAACCAGCGACGAGGCTGTACTCGTACCAAAACCCGTTCATCAGCGTGATCGAAGTCAGGCCCGCTTTCTGAACCTCAGCGATGTTCTCCATGACGGCGTTTGTGACAGGAATGTCCTTCCTGATTGCTGCGCTGTGTGCGTTGATACTGTAGGCGTTAGGCATGACGTATGGAACGCCTGCCTCAGCAGCAGCTTGAACCAGAGACGTGTGAGTACCCGGAGAAGCGCTCAGTGAAAGCGTGATGATGAGGAAGTCTTGGCCATTGAGAGCTGCGACCAAAGACTTTGTGTCCTCGTAATTGACTAAAGCCTTCTTGACACCATTCGGCAGGGTACTGGTGCTTTCTTTACGCGTGATGGCGGTCACTGTATGCTTCCCTGTCTTTAGGAGTTCCTCTGCGATGGCTTTCCCAATGTTACCGCCAGCCTGCAAGTTATTACCTTAACTATAGCTCATATCCACATGCAGAACGTATCCGGAAAAACTTACTCCTACAATGGCTACCTTGTGAATGTAGTTCTCGAACCCATTAGGAGCATCTCGTGCAAAGCCTCCGACCATTTTGCCCCTAGTTGGGATGAAGTTAACGTACAGACTATGAGGCAACTTCGAGACCAATGAAGTCCGACGGGAACTTTTGCAGTGGCGGTTAAATAGGCCGGGAGATCAGGATGCAATGCGTATGATATCTAACTCATTTTTCAAGTGGTAATTCAAATGACTGTAATCTGGCGCGCCGACGTATTTAATTCTTCTGATAAACTTACTTGCTTTGAAATCAGACGTGGTCTTGAGATATTTCAATGTAAGTCAACCGCGATGAACCATATATCGGAGCTAATGGAGTTAACTGTCAGCACCATTTTGAGTAATGTCGTGGTATTACCGACACGGACACGAAGCGCCGGACTATTTTCCCCACCCGCCAGTTCCTAGCTCGCTCTGAAAAACGATGTCCGTGTCTGGAAATGGCTAGCGTTACGGCCTGCATCACGCCCTACAAGCCATCTCGAACCTTATGCTGATGCTAGGGGTATTCCAGGGCCAGTGACTCCGTAATTGCAAGATTCATGACTGATTCTGCAATGTCTTGGAAGCTCATGGAAGCTAAGGTCGAACCACTGAGAAAGGTCCATTGCTTGCTGGGCTCACTCTGCTTCGTCATCCGGACCTGACGCCTACCATTCTCCTAATTTTCATCAGGAAGTACGCATGGCTTAATTACAATGGCGAATGATAAAGCAGTCGACTTATAAACTGCTGAAAAAGCCTCACGATTGCTTCTCAAGTTCCGTCTCTCGATCATACAAGCCATCCATAAACGCAACGCGAGCACTTTCTCCATCTCCTACCTTATTATCACACACAATCATGACGAAAGTTCTTGTTACCGGTACGATTTAGTGTATGATGAGAGTGATATTACCTTAGGCTAATGAAAAACCTGTTTGGAACATAGGAGGCACTGGCTTCGTGGCCGGTCATGTCATTGACACTCTGTTGAAGCGTGGTCACTCCGTTATCACCACTGTCCGATCTCAGGAAAAGGCTCAAGCGGTACTGGATGCTTACACAGACGTTTCTCATGACATTTTCAACACTGTGATTGTCCCAGATATTGCGGCGCATGGGGCTTTCGAAGGTCTGAGCTCTCTTGGACTCGAAGCTGTGATACACGTGGCAAGCCCAGTAAGTCTCCTGGAAACTTGACTTTTACCGTCTTGTGAACTTCCTACTCAACAATGCATAGTTCCATTACAATGTCACCGACCCAAAAAAAGATCTCATTGATCCAGCTGTCCTTGGTACAACAGGCGTTCTCAAGGCGATCAAGGATTCTTGCCCCAATGTCAAGCGTGTCGTCGTGACCTCCTCCTTCGCAGCCATTCTGAATCCTGGGCTTGCATCAATGGGCGCAGAAAAGACGTACTCAGAGGAAGATTGGAGCCCAGTCACTCTTGAAGATGCTTACTCGAATGTCATGATGGCATACGTTGCTTCAAAAGTCTTCGCCGAAAGGGCGGCCTGGAACTTTGTCGAGACCGAGAAGCCAAGCTTTACTCTGTCCACAATCTGCCCGCCCATGATCTATGGTCCCGTGAAATTGCCGGTCAAGTCCCTCTCCGCAATCAACACTTCGAACCAGCTTCTGGCGGAAGTCATTCTGGGAAAGCACAAGGCAGGCCTGCCGCCCACAGGTTTGCCGCTCTGGGTTGACGTCCGTGACGTCGCCCTGGCACACGTAAGGGCCATAGAGGTCCAGGGCGCCGGAGGCAAGCGTTTTCTCACCACAGCCGGCTTCTACAGCAATGAAGAGATGGCGAATGCACTTTGGAACAGCTTCCCTTCAATGCGGGAAAAGCTACCAGAGCCTGGTAGCTATGGAGGAGCGCCCAGTCCGGCTTTAAGGTCCTTTGGATACAACACGTCCCGGGCGAAGGAGATTCTGGGCTTACAATGGACTCCGTATGAAAGGACTGTCGTTGACTCAACTATATCATTGGATGGATTAGAGGAGTAGACAGAGACTCATACGCACCCATCGATAATGAATCGAGTTTGGCCAAGATTTCATTGAGCTGTTGCAGATAAGACCTCGAATTGATGCGGGCGCTTGGATTTCCTTCTTTCACACAGTTTTTATTTATTTTAGATGAACAACTGAACTTTTCTCATTCTGCATTTTATTCATGACTGAGGAGGTACCCAAGAGCCAGGATCATTCTGCTAGGCACCAAGCGCGTAGCTACCGGTCATTGCAAACACGGTCCAGTAATCTAGGTCTGGTGCCGTTTGTGTAACATAAAGTATTTCTTTTGCTGATTTGAGTCGTCCAGATTGCCACATAAACTTCAGACATTGATGCACCCAAGCTTTTACTTTCTCATCTTCTGATACTTGATTGATTAGATAAAGGGGCGCCAGGAAAGTGCTGCAGTGAAGTCGTTGTACAGGCGAGAAAGGCAACGAATTTGTTTTGTGTACTCCTGGTAAGATGAATTGAGGCACTGAGGCGCACATTTGATTGACCGAGTCGCGATTCGTTCCATGAAAGGTGTCCTCTTTCGGGCGACTCTCCTCAGGGACGTAAGTCTTGAGAAGGTGATAAAGAATGAGGCGGATGGTGCAGATTGCATTGGAGACTTGAGTGATGTAGTGGTCCGGGTAGATGTCATAAAATAATCCCAGGACTCGCTCATCTGCAGTGACTTGTATGGTTTTTGGCTTCCAGGATGGTGGGCGGGCCTTGTCCAACGTATCGATTCTTTCGTCGAGACATTTTGCCTTGACAAGAAGGTCCAATGTTGAGATTCTCCCGTGAACGATATCGGACTTAAGGTTGACAATCTGCGCGAGGACACCTAGAAATGTCCATTTCACGCTCTTGACACGATAGCCAATATTTCGACGGGCCTTCGTAAGCTCTGGAGGTATTCTATCTCCAACTGTGGCACAGCTCACCGTCACTGCCGTCACAAGTCGAGCTGCAACTTGACAGCCTGTTGGGGTAGACATAATACTCGTCTCACGGGCGCCGAGTAGTGACAAGCCACCTTGTGCGTGACTCAGCCATGCCTGAGACTTTCCCGAATCCCGGTGGACAAGCTTTTCGTACATATCTAGCAGTAGGATGGTTTGAAGAGCTCTTTCCGCTTCGTCAGGATCGAGTGAGCTGAGAGTGTGATTAAGTCGCCGGATGGCCGTGACGTAACTTGAGTTGGCCAGGAGAAGAAGATTTGGGCTGTCGAGCTCAACAGCCAAAAAAGCCAGACTGGCTGCTTCGACGCCCGCTGAAAGATGATCTAGTGTTTGTGCGTTCCGGTAATGGTAAGCTATCTCACCCATGCTCCGAGTAAAGCCTTGGATGTACGTCGAGAAGAATGCGTATCGTGCTCGCGTATCCCAGCTCAGCTCCAGAGTGGCTAGATGATTTTCTGCAGGTAGCATACGGCTCCGACGAGCAGTCACCTTTTTTTCTGCCGACAAGTTTTCATTACGGAATTGGATAGCGTCAGGGTCCCGATATCCATGACATATTATTCTAGCCCTGGCACACTGGCCACACCTATCTGGCTGAAGATCACACTAGCGGCGAATAACTGTTAGTCAAAGGAGGGTTTCTAGCAGAAAGTATGCAATTTGAATGCTCGGTAGGTCCAAAGAACTTGCCTTGAGTTTCCTTGCCCTGCATGGAAGGCATGCCGGCGAAAGACGCCCTCGGTTCACCATCGGTCTAAACCTCAGGGGTCCATTCCACAATTTGTGCCTAAATAATCCGACAAATGTGCGAATATCGAAGCGAAGCCTGCGGATAAGCAACGAACTTCTGGAAGGTGTCCAATTCTGCGATTGTAACTATGGCGAGATGCAGGTTTGGCGATTCTGCACCATTTTGCTAAGGGATGAAGTTGGGGTTGTCTCATGGCACGTCGTCCCATTGTCGTCTTTGTGTGTTTCCTAATACTGGGTCTTTCCTAAACGGGCTAGCGTTCCGGTCCCCCAACTCTAAATTTGTGGAGGTCTTGTCTGAGTTGATTCCCGTATTTTACTACCTTAATTAGTTGCCCGACTTGTGTCGAGGCACTAGAGAGCTGAGCATAAAGTACTGGGATAATTTCATTTGTTTAGGCCAAGACAAAGTCTCCGAAATGCCTGCAATACTTCTCACGCTAGCTCTAGCTAGGAAAATGTGTTATCTTGGCGACACATGCTCGTTCGTCTTCGCTCACTATGCAGTGTTAAACGTCTCAAGGTTTCGCGACTGAGCGCGCCAAGCAAAGGGTGCTCGATATGTCATTCGATTTTCTACTGGTTTCTGATGGCTTCCAACAATACTTCCCCAATAACCCCTGCGCTAGGTGGATTCTGTCCTGTAATCAAGCGTCCGTCCTTGCCGCTCGTCACGACTTTCACCCCAAACGGCTGATCCGCCTTCACGTACCTCCCGCCATGGTTTCTGAGTTCCGTTTCTAGAAGAAATGGCATTGCATCTGTGAAGCTATAGGCGTCTTCTTCAGCATTTGAAAATCCTGTAACTTCGCTGTCCTTGACTAAGTACTCCCCGTTTGTGAGCTTGACATTGACGAGGGCGCCGGGGCCATGGCAGACGGCCGAGACAACCTTGCCTGCTTCGTAGAACTCTCGGATGATAGAATGTGAGACTTGGTCGACGGCGAGATCAAACATGGCTAGATCTGTGTAAGCTTTTGATGAGGCCATTTTGGTCTGAGCCCTACTCACGCCCGTGTCCGCCAACGTAGAACACGCCGGCAAACTCGGCAGACCTTCCGATAAAAGACGACAGGGTCTCAGTTTTTTCCCAAAGATCTTTCTTGTCTTTCAGAAATCTCTGGCACTCTACATCGTCTTTGCTGTCCTCAACGGAGTAGGGGTCGAGGGGAGCAACACCACCCTTAGGAGAAGCGATGACGAGGTCCACATGAGGGGCAAGAGCGTTGTATGGGTGAACGAACTCGGGAAGATACCATCCAGTCTTGAAGTCCTCCCGAGTTGGTAGGATATCCTGAGATGTCAAGACAACGAGAAGCTTGGGCCTAGTCGACATGGCTGGTAGGATGGAGTAAGGAATCAGGGAGGACCACAGAGTGAGGGTTGCCGAAAGACGATGCTTGAATGCGATAGAATGCGATAATGACCAGGGATGGGCGTAGGTTATTGCGTACTTAAATACGCATACGGACAGCCCATCTCCCGGAACAATGGCCATTTATCAGCCATCGGCATCGCCGCAGTGTTAGTTCATGGAACGAAAGGAATACCCAAAGTAGTTTACGGCGTCTTATTACTCGCGCCATGCATTTCGGGTACAAGAAATGTCCTGACATTCCAGGGTGTAGGTATCATCTGGATATGTCTTATATCCGAGAGAGAACTTTTTCTCCGAGCAAGACGGTTGAGAGCTTGAGGTATAAGTACCGATTTCCCTGTGTCGTCTCATATTCCGAGCTTATCCCGCATTCGTCCTATCCTCTCCCCTACACTCCCGCCGATCATTCTATATATCTAAAAAGTCGATTCTGAACATTAAACCATCCACACCTCCAGTTCTTTCAGACGTCACAAACATCGATCACTATGACCGTCACTATTACCGTCGTCTTCCCCAACGATCCGGATGCCAAGTACGATATCGACTACTACACCACTAAGCATATGCCATTGATTCAAGAGCAATGGGGAAAGTACGGCGTCACGTCGTGGTCGGTCACCAAATTTCAACCGGGTGCTGATGGCACCCAGCCATTGTACGCCTTCGGATCAACTATCACCTGGGACAACATCGAGCAGATCAAAACGGCTTTCGCCGGGCCCGAAGCTGGTGGGATCATGGGAGACGTACCCAACTTCTCCAACAAGCAACCTATCTTCCTCACAGGCGAGGTACTTGCATGAGAATGGGAAGTATCATATCTTGACAGTCAGTTGATCAATGATGGTTCAAAAACATCCTGAAATTTTGTTGAGAGTTGATGAATAAAATTCGAATCGATATGAGTAATGCATATGTGCAAGATTGTTGCTTGAGTAGTGTGTCGGCTTCCGGTTGAAATCTCCTGACTTAGGTAGACATCTTCTACTCAAGATGCCTCTGCGAAACTGCAGGGTTGAAGTCAAACATACATGTATGGACCTTCATAGCACGGTGATCCATTGCTGTTAAGAACCCAACTCTCGTAAGGCCACGTAGAGATGACTCCCGTATAGAGAATTTAAGCTAAACAGGTAACGATTTCTGGAATGGGGTTTCTGCGGAGGAAAGGCGCTAGAGTAGACCTATACGGGAACCACGCTGTGAGCCATGGCAGAATACGGGTATTTAGTCCGCATCCACCACTCAAGCCTAGACCGTAACAATAACACATAGACATGACGCAGATCGTGCCCTTAGTTCAATGGCATGGTCTGTACGTGTACAATTCGAAAGAACTTGAACTACCAAAGTTCAAAGTGGTCTGCAATCGCCGTGTTCACGTGGTGTTGCAATCGTTTCAAGATCATGCAATGGGGCTTATCTGGATACTGTGTACCACAAAAGAAGATCCTTGGCAAAGGCATTGATGTATTCGATATCAACGTGGCTTCATGGGCTCCACACCCTAGAAGTCCACGATGAGGATCTCGTAGAGGTCATATCAAACCTTGATGAAAGCGAATGTCCCTGCTCCCATCTTCCGTGTCTTGCAAATCCGTGCGGAAAGAACGAATGCCATTCCCAACATCATGCAACAACCGGCAAATGCTTGTGCGCCAACGTATTTGCCCCCCATCGCATCGATAATGGCTCCTGCAATCGGCGATCCGGTGAGAGATGCGAAGCTGACCACCGTGAAAACCATGCCCATTCTCGTACCCTGCTTTTGAGGGTCCGTGGTCAAGCTACTGAGCACGGAGGGAAACAGTGACTGAACTCCGCCAACAGCAAAGCCATAAAAAGCAGTCCAGACATACAGCCCGGTCGTGTTTTGTACGCCAATCCAACAGAACATTACGGTGCCGGTCATGAACGCCATTGGAGCAAATATGTTGATAGTACCAATTACGTCCCCAATCTGGGCCGGAACAATTCTTCCGAGTGCACCCACACCGTTGAGAACCAATAATAGGTCAAGTGAGTCTGTGTAAGATAGTCCCAAGACGTCCCGGGAGAATGCCGCAAGAAAGTGGAAGGCAAAATAGGTTCCCCAGAAGCACTGGACATTTTTTAGTACCTTATGCTCGCTCCGGATCAACATGCTTACCATGAACGCCCCAATAGCATAGAGACTATACTCTGATTCTCTAAAGGCTGCCCACTCTACTAGAGGTGCTGCCTGCCGTGGTGGAATCCTGGTCTTGATTGGTAGGCCAGCAACTATCAAAGTCACAACCTGAATCAAGGCAATAGCTCTAATGGTCCAGCCAAGCCCTATCCTTGGCAAAAGCTGCCGAACCATGCTCGGAATAGTGAGACCTCCGACAACAGCCCCAGCGGCTGTGAGGCCGAACGCCAATGAGCGACGCTTCGCAAAGTACGTAGATGTCACTGCCATACAGGGACAGAACAGACAGCCGTTTCCGAGGCCTAGGCAGATACCCTGGGCGAGAAAGAATTGCCAGTAGGTGGTACAAAACGAGGCAGCAACCATTCCCAAGATGACAAGGAAGAAGCCGGCGATGAACAAGGGACGAAAGAATCCCATATCTGTCCATCGTCCCGTAAACGTCCCGACGAAAAAGAGCAGGAACACTTCAAATGAACCGATCCACGAGACATCGGACTGTGGCCGCGAAAACGCTCTGGTGAAGTATGGCTGAAAGACGCCAAAGGAGTTTGCAACCCCCCTACAAAGTATTAGCACCCCAAATCATGCAACGACAGAGTTTGAAGCACGAACCAGGTGTTCATAACAACTAGAAATGTGCTAAAAACTGTCACATCATTAGTGATGTACATTTTACACGTGTAGTGCACAATTTGCGCATTGCTGAGTTCCACTCACCTACCATCCACGCTCTGGCGCCACCATCTGGCGGCGTATCAATGATTATACTTGGCCGCGATGCACTTCTCTCGATGCTACTGTGGGGGGCTGTTCTCTCGGCGGCTATGCCGGCATTGTAAGAGTGTTCTCGAGGTGTATTGCACATTTTGGTTGATCGCGGCTCATCAGGTACAGCTTCTTGCTTCTCACCCATACTGCAAAATTCGGACGGGAAGAACGGTTTCCAAAGTGCGGTAGTAAACTGCAGGGGAAGAGGCCAAACCCCAGTGAATAACGAATCGATGATGATGGATCTTTTTGAAAAGATGAGACTTGTGAGGCACTCTTGTTCGAAAAATGCCAAAGGTCGTAGATACCTGCCGTTCTCAGCTGTACATTTGACAGGCCAAAAAGACATTCTTGCTGTTATAGGTAATTTACCGCGGTCGGGATCGTCCGTCCATAGCCGATGGTCTCCGAACTCGGCCCCAAGATTCAGTTCCCCAGCAGAACCCACCTAGGGAGAGAGGGGTTCTCCCCACCATCCCCCCTTACGGTTCATTTTGGTTGACTCGGCCCATTGTGACTCAGTTCAGTTATTTGCTAGCAAACCGCTGCCGCAACCTTCCTTTCCAAGTCTGGATTGTAAACAAAGTAGTCATCGATGAGGCTCTGGTAATCCCTTTTGAGGTGTCAACCAGGGCTGATTTGTCGCCCTTTTGCGACCTTTGCAGCGGGCGTCGGGTTTTCGCCTGCCGCTGAGCTTCTCGATGCCCTTTTTATGCAGTGTCTTGGCTGATCAGGTTCAAATCCACCAATCATTAAATCGCTTTTACGAACTTTTTCATGGATAGCGAATTGCACCTTTTACTTGCAATGCAGTGTTTTCCCTGCAACTCCGGAGCAGGCTAAACGATCGGTTTGTGAGGGGGGCAGGCCCCTACTAGGCCTTATATCATCCGATGCGTAAACGGCCATAGACTCCTGTTTGCATTGTTCAATGTCAGCGACACGTCCCGAATGATCTCACCGTTCGGATTGACTCAATTTTCTGACATTGGAAATCCAAGACTTCAGAGCAAGACGCATTTGGCAGTAGAACTAATCACGGCCAACAGAGACGACTAGTAACATGAGGCAGCCATCTTAGAGTTCTTGATCAAAGCCATAGAGGAAGTGGGAGGCCAGCGCAGACAGCGTACTTGACAGCAAAAACACCTCGACCAGCGCGTCCAGAGCCTCCCATATAATCGCTCAATTCCGTCATTGGATTGACAGAGTCCGACATTCTCTGATCATCCGACCACAGCAAGAATCGACGTGAATCAGACGTCATACATGCTTGCGCAGCTCTTGCGTTTCTAAATAGTTGACTTCTGGAAGGCAGCAGGAAAGTTCATTCATCGTTTTTGTCTGCCCTATAATATGACTGCTATTCTCTCCTTTCGGTAGAGTCAGAGGTTGTTCAATTGCGAAAGAGATGTAGACAAAGGGCTATCAGGGTCTCAGAGCTCATGTGATCAAATAGTTGCCATGATTAGCAAATCATTTTGTTTAAGTACTTGAACTCTGGGGTAACCCCACAGTCTAGCATCATGCAACATGCATGATACTTCACGCTTTAGAGGCCCAGGGGGCGTCTCCGGCACCTTCCTTCAGTCCAGCCTTGTGTTCCTCCAGCCAACCCCTGACAGTCGTAGGCTTCCTCTCAAGGGTCCTCTCCACAAAGTCGTTCAATGACCAAATCTCCTCATGCGCTTCCTCATACTTGAAGAAATTCCACATGACCTGCACCAATTGAGGTCCCATAACAGGTCCATAGAACTCGGAAAACGCTTCGAAGCTTCCATCATACGCAATCGGTTCATCGAGTACTTCGGACAACATAGCCGCCACCTCCTTGAACGTGAGCCAGTCATGACCATTGTTCATTGTGTGAAAGGCACCAATGTGCTTCGCGTTGTTGGACAAGAACAGTCTGCCCGCAACCTCTGCGATGTCTCGAGGGTCCACGAAAGGCACACGATGCTCTGGCCAGATCAGAGTCTTCTTTGCAATGACTGGCTTGATTTGAATCCAAAAGTTGTCCATGAAAGTTGCTCCAGAGTTGATGTAAGTGACAGGCAGTCCACTTGCATCGAGGATGCGTTTGGCGATTGGGTGTTCGATTGGAAGGGATCCTGAACCGAGAGTAGTGGGAATCAGTGAAGGCGAGATCTCCGGGAAAACTCCCATCAGGCGAATGACGTGTAAGATGTTCTTGGCCTGCTTCAGGGCGGTGACCAAGTTCGTCATGGCCTTCTCTTCCGAGATGCCTGCTGGAGTAATGACAAAGACACCCTCAATGTCGATGAGAGCGGCGGAGAGGGATGTAACGTCCGAGTAGTTGGCTTCGACCACTTCGGCGTTTGCAAAGGTATCTTGAAGCTGTATTTTCTTGCCCGGGCTGCTTGTAGCGAGTCGCAGCTTCATCGTAGGAGCCTCTCGAATAAGAAATTCGGCCAAGGGTCTGCCAATATGAGCGGCGGCTCCAAAAATCAGAATGCTCTTCGGAATAGGCTTGATGAATGAAGACATTGTGAGGGACTTTAGTTGTCAATGAGACTTCGTGATACAAAGTAAGTAAGATGATGCACTTGTGATGGTAGAGACGAGTTCGTGACGAAGTTGACGATAAGTCCGTGATTCAGAGATTACCAAGAGGGTTTATATACTGCCTTACAGTCTGGATGATGTTGGTAAGTATGGTGAGCCGGTAGTCAATAAGTGCCGTTCGGGCCTTGCACAGGCCTAGCGGCCGAGAGCATTGTCTGAGCTTGAAAAGGCTTGGCAAGACCGGGAAACATGTGTCAGTAGGAGCAGATATTGAAGATTTCAATACCCCTTAACAGATCTGCTTTTAGATAGGATCTCCATTAGACGATACTCTTGGCTGAAATCCACATATGCTTCAGCCGAAAAACACTCCGTCTGGTCTTGCAATTAGACAGCGGTAAACGTTACCGCTTTGGACAAGAGTTTCCGTCTGAAAGTAGGTCCTCACGGATCCTAACTATCGATGAACCGCTGACATAAGCGGCTTGAACCATGATCTCTAAAAGCTGAGGCGTCCTGCCTTTGCGAAAGTCAGTAGTTCGGCAATTTGACACCCAACTTGGCCGGCCGGACAGTTTTGAGTTCTGAAATTTAATTTGAAAGCACTACATTGGCCTTCTGATTTACAATCGTGCGCCGGGGCGGATTCTTTTTGACATCATTTTAAATCCGTTAACGTACGGAACGGGCCGTCAACGAGCTTAACTCAGTAATCGAACATGTGACTACACAAATCTCAACATTGGCCTTGATTTTCCGCTACTAGAATATCTACCATCTGCTTTCCCGCACCAACAAAACAACGGGACTGGCACCGCCCTACTAGTACACATACACAAAGTTGGGATTCTCCTTGTCGGTCATGTCTGTAAACGCTGTGGCGTTGAGCTCGTCGGCGGTATAATTGTCATTTGCACGCAATGCGTCTCTTTGCTTCTCTTTGCGCTTGTTCTCCCAGATGAAGGCATACCGGAAGACAAAGAAGAGAGCAAGCTCAATGCAATTTGCGACCAAGAGTGACCCAATACCGAGATGATACGAGGGAGCCTGGTTCGTTTTGTAAAAGAACGGGCTTGCGATATTGCCGATGCAAGCGCCAAACCAAATCATGCCAGAGACAATCATTTTCTTCGATTGGCCACCAGTGTTCGATGTGATTAGCGAAAGAGAGATGACGAAGGACGCTTGGTATGAACCAGTAAGATAGCTTGTGACAGTCAGTATCCATCTCGTGATAGTGTATGAGGGAAAACACCTTACAAGCAAATGAGACGACCGATGTAGGCATTGGCTGGTGCAAGAAGGAACCCCAAGGCACCACCAATGGTTGGCAACATAAAAAGTGCACAAACCAGTGTACGACTGTTGGCCGGCATATACCTATTTGCCAAGGCACCAAGACCAATCCAGATAACCACCAGAGCGCCTTGCGGGATGCCAAGCAGCGCCGTCTCAAGCGTCCCAAAGCCAAGACCCTTGATGACAAGTGTGGAGAAGTTGGAGATGCCACCGTTGGGGACGTTGGAAACAAAGCCTAACAAGGTGAAAAGCCAAGTCTTGTAGTCCATGTAAGCTTCCTTGATTTGACCCCAGTTGATACGGCGTTGCTCGATGCCTGTTTGATTGCGACGCATGCGGGCGATCATGATAAGCTTCTCTTCATGGCTGAAGCCCCAGATGGTTCGTGGAGAGTTGGGGAGGCAGAGAGCGAGGATAATTGCCCAAAATGCACAAAAAGCACCCACGACAAGGAACTCGTAGCGCCACGACTCTAGGGCGCCTTTGATATGTCCAATACCGTATCCTAGAATAAGATTGTCAGCGGGACATCGTTGGGGAACATCGGTACTGTAGAATTGTCCAAACTCACCAATGAGACCACCACCAGCAACACCAATTCCATTCCAAGCATACCACGCTGAGATACGAGAGGGCTGCTCAGATCGTGTGTAGTACATGGATGTGATCAACATAAAAGCAGGATCTGCGATGGCCTCAAAGGCACCAGACAGTACGCGAAGGGCAAGAAGGCCGCCGAAGTTCTTGGCTGCGGCCTGAGCCATAAGAAGGGCGCCCCACATGAAAATATTGAAAGAGAGATACCAAGCTGGACGACAGCGCTGCATAATCAGGTTGGATGGGATGGCCCAGATAAGCCAGCCGAAATAGAAGCAACTTGATAGCCAAGAATATTCCTCGCCTTTCAGGTTGAGGCCGTCCTTTAACCCGAAAATCGCTGCGTAAGATCTATGGTATGATTAGCTATTAAAGGCTGCAGAGAGTCCGGGATGCCGGGTCTATGGAAGAGAGGCCATACAGTGTGGTCTTGTCGACGTAGTAGAAAAAGTAGCAGATTCCGAGAAGTGGCAATATTCTCATGTCCAGTTTGCGGAGAAGACGCTTCTCATCGGCTTGGTCAATTGATTCGTCATTTGGGTACCGTGCCAGCGCTTCAAGGTAGATCTCTGGGAACTCTTGCTGGCCGTCTTCACGGAGGAGCTGTGGCTTCTGAAGATCTTGCTCGACATGCTCAACATCGCTCTTTCGCGATTTGGTATCCGCAATGTCTGG